GGTGGACAGGCTGCAGGCTCAGCTGTTGGAGAAAGGAGATAAATATAGAGGGACACTTAATAGGGGCAGGTGAGGGGTCGGGGGGGGGGTCCCAAGAAGGGCCTTATCCAATTCCCCCTTTCTCTCCACTCCTGGGGAGGGGAAGGGGAGAGGGAGAGCGCATGGCCTTTCTAGGCACAGACCGTCTTTGTGCAACCCCCCCCTCCAAACTCCTGGTTTCAGAGATGGCGAAAAAGGTGGAACAACTGGGTCGGCTGTTTTGCCCAGGATGGAGCCAGCCCCCCCGCACGCCCCAGACCTCATGCAGGCCAGACAGAGATCCCCCTCCCCCCAAAAAAGCCAGGGCGAGGCATCTGCCATTCCTTCTGCCCAGAGATCCACACCAATCTCAAGGCAGTTTCCCTGGCAAACATATAGGGGGGAAAAAGAAGCTTCTGTTGGTAAAACAAGGTTTGGAAGGGGCATTATGGACCTGGAGGGGGGGTTGTTGTTGTAATGGGAGGGGCAGCAATACCCAAAGGTTAAGAGGGTCATAGGGTGGGCAGAATGCCAGACAAGGGCTCAGGAGATCTGGGTTCAAATCTCGACTCATCTAAGACACAAGCTCCATCAGCTGACCTCGCGCCACCCACCAGTTCCCTGCCTGGCCTGAACTGGATTTCGTGAGAATCGAGGAGGGAGAGGCCACTTTGAACTCACTGCAGGTAAAGTGTGATATAAGTGTAACTAACCAGTCACATTTTAAAAACACAGATGCTACGCCAGCTCCCTCTTTCATGCTTTCCCATCTGTGAAGAGAGATCTGTGTTACCAGGAAGGGCAAGTCCTGCTGAAAAAAGGATATCGGCTAAGCTCATCTGGCCTGTTCTCTGGAAAGGGGGAGAGCAAAGGATCACCCTCCACGAGGGACAGATCGGAGCGACAGATGTTCCCTTGGGGTTGAGGCCGGGATCGGAGCTTCTCCAGCAGGAGCCGAGGGGGTGGGCGAGCGTGTTTGTGGCGTTGGGTGTTGAGAAGGAAAACCGAAGGCAAGCAGCCCCAGAAGGATTTTTTTCCAAACAGGTGCCGGCGGAGCAGCTGTTCAAGGGGCCGATGAGATGCGGCCGGAGGGAGGGGAGCATCCAAGTGGGATCCATTTTGGGGCAAAAAGACAGAGAAATCTCAGAGTGCACACAGGCAACACACCCTGGGAGATCTGAGCCGGCCGCAACTGAGCAGAAGAGGGATCTCTGTGGAAAACTCAAACGTGCGCGGCTGCAAGAAGGCGGCAGATCCTCCGGCCGCAACTGAGCAGAAGAGGGATCTCCTCTGTGGAAAACTCAAACGTGCGCAGGTGCAAGGCGGCGGCAGATCCGACACGAGGAATCATTAGAAAAGGAATGAAAACGGTTCAGTCTTGCAAACAGCTCCCCTCGCAAACGGGGATCCTTCAGAGCGGGTGGAGGTGCCAGAAAAGACGAGTCCACCCCCATTTGGGGGCAATTAGCTTGGGGGGGGGAAAACACAAGTGAGGAGAAGAAAACAGGCCTGGAGAAGTATTCCTCCCCATCTGAAAGACCCCGGACACCAGCGAGGACCATTTCCATTAAGGCTGAATGTCGGGAGATTCAGGGCAGACAAAAGAAAAAAACTCCACAGGGTGCTGAGCTAAACAGTGGAACTTACTGCCACAAGATGCTACGCCTGCTGTGAAACCAGAGAACGGGCCAATTTCCTGGCCAGTGAAAATAAGCCAGTGGCTGCTTCTCGAGAAAGCTAAATACCGCCTCCGACGCCAGTCCCCCCCTTGCTTTTTCAGGTGGTTGCACCGAGCAGGGCCGAGCCGGACGTTCCTCTTTTCCCCATCACAACTGTCCTCCTCCGCCCCGAGACCCCCAAGTGAAAAAAGCCCCAAAAACTTCTCCAGGGGGCCTAATCCAACCCACCCACCCCAATGTCGCCCTGGCCTGACATGTCTGAGCACATCAAGCAAGGAAGAGACAGCCTCCATCCACCCACTGCGAGGAATGGGGTGTTTGAAGTGGGGCAAGGGAAGGGGGGCACCAAGAGAAAGCAGAAGCCTTTCCTTTGGCAAACTTATGGGCACAGGAAGAACCCACCCACCCCAGAAAATATCCCACAAGCCAGACTCTTCTGCCTTTGTTACGTGCAAAAGAGGTGGGCATCAGG